GGGGCGGGAAAGCTCCAGGTTCCCCCACTGGTGGCACTGGTAGCTTGCGCAATCTTGCTGGTTGCAGCAGCTGGTCTGTTGCAGGGGTCCGTCTGCAGTCCATAGTGACAAGGGTACTGCAGAAAGGTTCCCTGCTGCCAGCAGTGGCTAGGCTGCTCCAGCACCCCAATGTCACAAGGTTCTCTGGAGGTCACGGATTCTGTTCAGGGCTTGTCTACATGGGGGACACTCAAGAGTTAACAGTGTGAAGTTAAAACACATTAAACTCCTATGGAGGTGCCCACCATCAGGGTTTACTTCCCTTCTCCTCTCCTCCCCAAGGTACTGCAAATATCAAATACCATACTGACATGATTAGTAACATAGAAATACTTTAAAGAGCAGGAGGAACAGTCGAAAAGGAGCTCAGGAACTTCCATGAGATGCATGTTATGAGGTTGAATAGTTCTTATCACTTGTTTATTTTAATCAAAGGTAAATGACGTGTGTATAAGTAATTTAGGTTTCCCTATCCACTATTCCACTAATATTTCAAGGTATTGTTTATTGGTAAAAAAATCTAGATTCTTTAAATTACATTGTGTGAACATCGAATTGTTTGAGTAACTGGTGTGTAATGCTATTGGATTTTAAGCTGGCAGTTCTTGGAGCCTGCACCTGTAATGCTCCTGGAGGAGAGCCCTGTTCCTGTGCTAAAATGTCAGCTGCAACACGAAAGCAGCTTCTTCAGCTCAGACAAGAGGTAATATAGCTTAACTTGAATGTGGAGCAACATAGATACCTTTTTCATGAAAAACTTCAGAGAATATTTGCTGCTTGGGCAGTCTAGTACATTTCAAAAAAATAAAATAAAAATAAAACAGTGCTTTTTAAATGTCTCTGGAAGCTTTAGTGAATGCTGTGGTAATACAAATAAGCAGTAGTAGTAACACACTAGAAACTTTTGCTTGTGTAATTTTTTGTTTTACAACATTTATGTACTGGCAAAAGCCCTATTACAGTAATTCCTCATTTAACACTATAGATATGTTTCAGAAAATGATTGTGTTAAGTGAAAGTGTTATGCGGGGTCAATTTTCCCATTGAACATAATGGAAAAGATGGGGATTGCGTTTCAAGTGGAGGTGTCTGTTGGGACTGGGACATAAGGTTGGGGGGAGAAAGGGGACTGGGTTACAGCAGGGAGGGGAGGTGTTTGGCCTGGGGGAAGGGAAGGGGAGGAGAGGGGAGGGGGATTGGGTTAGGAATATGCCCCAGGTGACGGGTCTGCCGGGACCCGCACTGCATCCGGTGAGGGGGGGTCGCCAGGGAACGGTGCAGTGAGTGGCGAACCCTCCGCCGCTTTGCAGGGAGGCGGGGGAAGCCCCGCACAGCCGCCGGTGACGGGCCGGCTGGGGGAACCCAGCCACTGGCCTGCAAGGAGGGGGAGGC